ATGATGGATCCCAAGCAATACCTTTAGCTGTTTTTGACCATGACTCAGTGAATCTCCACAGGTGTTGAGTAGACTCATATTTCCAATTAGCCAAGTACAAAGAGAGAAGTTCATTCATTCTCTGTTCTTTATAACGGTTCACATCTTTCATAGGCATGGATTATATGAGACATGTTATCATATATTGGAATTTTCTACTAAATGCAAATGGTAATGTTTAAAAAAATTGCTTATTTAAGTGATCAGATGATTATAAAATTCCACTGCTGAGTACGTGGATCCTTTTCATTTTATAAGCAGCACATGAAAAGAATCTCTCAAATGCAGTTCCAGTCACCAGGAGTGGCTCTACTGGACTGGAAAACAGCCTTGTCTTTTCCCACCTGTGGAAGAAATCAAGACACACTGTGTTGCAGGGAGGGGAAAATGCTGTTCCTGGAAATTCCCAGATAGAGTGAGAGAAGTCCAAAGAGTGCAACCAGGGAGATTAGGGATTTGTTTTAACACGTAGAATTGTGAAGTAAAGAATCTCAATAATGAGAGTCTTGAATAATAAATTAAAAGATAGTCATGAATTATATTAGATACATACATATATATATTAAAGATATATACATATATCTTTAAAAGAACCAAATGAATGGATACATAGATAAAAAATAGACTGTTATGGAGTATTGAGTCATTACACCACCAGCAGCAAATTGTGTGTTAAACATCACTGTGTCCTAAAGTTTTTACTTTTTTTCTCATTTTGAACATGGAAGCCACCTATTGCATGGGTGTTTTTGATATGAGATGGCTATTTCCATTAATCCTTTTCTGTTAGACAGTTCTAGTTAAACATTATTCTTTGCAGACAACTTCATGACTATGTTCTCCCATGTAATGTTGCAAAAAAAATTTTTTCTTTAAGATTAACTATATAAGCTACCATTTAAGCTTTTGCTTCATTTTGGAATGTGACTCCTAAGCCAAACATTCGCCTGATCCCAAGGAGAAACTAATGTTTTTATTCCTACTGTGCTCAGAGCTACAGCCTGTCTTGTAACTTTTCTTGCCTTTTTTTTTTTTTTATTTATAACACTTAGTGACTATCCAATTTTCTCTGTAGGTTTTTTTATTACAATTAACACAACATTTTTAATCTATATATCTAGCAACCTAGCAAGGGTTGTGCTGCCCTAACAATGGCCTAGCCATTGACTGATACTCATTCAATTAAACCTTTAGGTTCTTTTGGCTTCCATGATATTCTGAACTTTAATTTGCAGTGCAAAGTAATATGTTCTTTCGTTTGCTTAGTTGGTCAAGTCTGAGATAAGATTATGCTTAATGCAGAAGTATTTGTATGAGGAGTTTTTCATATAAATGCAGACCAAATTGTGTACTGATTCATTTTGTGTCAATTCTCTGCATATAATTCAGTCTCAGTGCTTAATTTTTCTTCTTCTGGCTTTTCATTTCACGTTAGAGGTCAGCCCTGAAGCCACAAGATGTCTGTAAGATGGTAAGCACACTCAGACTGCAGACCTAAAGGGCAGACAGTACCTGGAAACATGCTTACCTCTTCTATCTGTGATGAAGGACAGACAGGCTCAAGATAAGAATTCATTTTCTAGTTTCACTATTTGAAATCAGTGATGATTAGTGAGATCAGAATCAGACTCTTGTCACTTAGAAAATAACCCACACTTACTGGACCACCATGGAAAACACAAAGGAAAGCATAGAATTATTCATACTGCAGTTACTCAGACATCACACTGGAACTGAAAGGCAGAGAATTTTGAATGCCATGGCTTCTTATCTTTTCTTCTCTGTCTATGGTTTTTTTTTGTTTTAATTGATTTTGCTAAACCAAGAAGCAAGAGTTGGTTGCAGTAAAACCACGTGGTTAGTACATTTTGATTACATTTCTGTCAAACCTCTTCTAAATTCTGTTATGCAGTTTTAGCCAAATTCACAAGTCGTAAGTAGACATAAATCCAACATCTTTATCCAGATTAAAAACTGAAAAGTTACAGTAGCGGAATCAATAATGTGATTGGGTAGAAACTAAAATCTTGTGTATTCTCTACAGTAAGTCAACTTGAGTAGATATTTACCAGTCTACATGAACTTTTGGTTTTTTATTGGGTTGTGGGGATTTTTACCTCTTAGCCCTTTTATTGAATAGCTGGAATCAGTCTAATATCTGAAGTCACAATATTTCATGGTATGTCTACACCAGGGGTAGAACACTGCAGTGTTCCTAAGTTTTACTCATTATCTATTTAAATTAAACCTGGTTAATGACTCCAGGGTACCATTCATGTGGTAAACTGTAGTTTATAATGGAGTCCAAAAAATAATAATCCCACTGCTACTTACTCAAAGAAGTTTGACTGTCTTTAAAGTTTGTTTTAATGTCAATAATGTGTGACTAGTATGATGATGTGAAAAAGGAGTATCATTCTTTATTGACTCCTACTAAAATACCTCAGGCTGTAGTGTGAAAACCCGTGAAAGCTCGAACCCATTTGGGAAGAATTTTTTTTCAGTAACATCTATTTAGAGTAATATGCTTAAAGATGAATAATATTTCTGCACATCCACACCCAGATGGAAAGAAATTAAATTACAAAGAGGTATAACAGAGGTATTAACGTGGTTATGTGCATCTTTAGGCTGTCTGTAAGAATCAGCTGTCACATTTAGGTTTATGAAACGCTCCTAATCAGCGATGCGCTCTATTTTGCGCTTCCATGCTGAGTGGCTCATATGTCCTAGTTACTCATCTACAATGTAATTATGATTTTAAAAAAAGAAAAAGGCCTGTTGAATTAAAGGCAGATTTGGAAATATTCCAATGTATTACATTAATTTAGTTCAATTTATATGAGCATGTTTCACTCTGCTAGGGAAGTTTAATTCACCAAGCTCCATTTCCTGCCTTAATCATCTACCATAAGGATATTAATATGTCCTGTTAATGCCACACATTGCTACTGTGAAATTTGTGGTCCAGCCTTTAGCTCTAGTTTTTTAACTAACCTTGAGTTAATAGCATAATTATACATAAACCTTTAAACTGCTTTTTTTGTATATTGGTCATAATACAAGAACAAAGCATTTCAGCAAGAGGATTTAGTCAAAGGAATTTGTACTGTCTGTAACTTGCATGGTGCTGTTGCCACAGTGGTCTATGGTCGAAGTCAGCAAAGGTTTATTATCCACTTTGCAACAGTATGCAGCTGGGAAATGTGCTATCACACTGCTAAAACCAGCAGTTTTTTAAGCTTCAGCAAGATTAAAAAGTCAATCTGGGAATATAAAGTTAACTGTTGGCCCAATTCAGGCAGTCAGCTATAGCAGTCATACAGGGCAAGGTACTGGGTGCTCAACACCCTCAAATGCCTCTGGGGTCATCTTTTGGGGAACATTAACAAGACCTTTACAGTGACAGAACTTTTCAGCATAGCCAAGTGTCAGAGGCAGCAGCAGAACGGTCCTGAGTGGGTTGCTGACTTACTGTTGGTATTACAGAGAATCTTTTCCATGCAAAGACTATTCCTGCTCCCACACTTTGTGCCCTGCCTCAGCAAGCCCTTCAGCCATATGTGATGGGCCAGAAGAGGAAGACTACTGCTCTCCCATCTTCCACTAGGAGCAACACTAGTGCAAGCAACTGATGGCACACCCTCCCCAAAATAAACAAGTCTACATTATGCCTTCTGTACCTGCTAGTGTTTAGATATTGTAAGGATAGTGGTCTGGAAACATGAGCTAAAAGAGGAGCTGGAAAATGCTGCTTCTTCCTACAGGGCGTCTTCCACACTGAGAAACATTTTTTACATAACTTGTATGTTTTGTGGCAGAGCTTAAACTGAAGAGTCGGGTTTTTTTCTAAGTTCACCTTTTTTCCAAGCTGTGCTCCATCACGTAGATGATTGTGCTGAAACATGCAAAAAAAAAAATTTACTGAGGTTTGTGCTGTGCTGGGTCCTCAAGAAAGTGATAAGTTTGCATATATTGGGGGTTATGAAGAACATAAATACTCCTTCAATAAAGCCTGAAAACTCCTAGAGAGACAGGGTGCTTTTGGGTCCGTATAAACACTGACCATGTTTGTGAGCCACTTGTGGTCTGACCTGAAGAACACGTCCCATGCTATTATGTCCAGATCCATCAAAACCATGTATTGATGAAGAGGAGTGTGTCAGCTGGAAAATACTGATATTTAAAGCACTACCTGGTAATATTTTTCATCACAGTGTGTGTTATTGCTGTGTGTAGGATGTCAGACATGGTTCTTGGCTTTTTCATGATTTCTCTCAGGTCTTCAAATCACAGACTCAGCTTCTCTGTAGATTTTCTCTGCACAGTGGTGTCTTAGAGAACACTAAGTTTGAGCCTGAAACAAGGAAGAAACTTTTATAGCAGGGGGCTGCTCCTGGAACTTTATGGCAGTGACTTAGTTGGACCAAATGGCCCTTAACTTTTAACAGAACCATTTCTCAGTTTTCCTGAAGTTGAGCTTGCTGCTTGCAAAGCTCTTTATGGAATAACAAGTTAAAGCTGTTACAATAAATCACTTGCTTCAAAAATAGACCTTGTATTTAGAGAAGCCATGGAGCCAAGTTACTCCAAGCATACATCATCCCCTCAGTGTATATTCCTGCAGCTCTGTTAATAGTTAATTTTAACTGTGTGCTATGCAGAAGTTATTTTCACAGGGGGAAGAAAAGGCACTATTAAGTTACTAAGCCTGTTTCTAGCTTGCACCATAAATCAAAGAGAGGTTACTTCACTTGTGCTACAGACTTGTAGCTTTGATTTTAGGTGTGCACAATTGAAAGTTTTCTCCTGGATATATCACTTTGCAAGATGAGTAGACATGTTGTAAGACTCAGATACATTCTGTTACTAAAGATTTCAGATACAGCATATGTATGCAAGTCTTGAGTACAAGTCTAGACTTCTTTGCTTCACAGGTTTAGCAGACAATGAATCTAGACTTATGGCAGATGGAAGTTTAATTCAGAGTTTGACAGAGAATCATCTCTAGAAAGAGCTATAAAAGCCTACCACATTATTTTTATAATGAAATATGGTTTTTATTTCTAAGTACAATCTCAAAGCGCATTGGCCCAACACTGTAATTTAAAGAAGTAGCATAAAACAGTATCTACATGAAGTAATTTTTATAAGAAATAATGGGGGACAGGAATTCTCAGAGAAATAAATGTTTTTGCCTGGCATACTCGCCTTTATCACCACACGTTATTCTAACCACTGTAAGCTTGTGGCTTCCTTGGCTGAGGAATCATAAACAGATATTTCCAAGCATTTTCATGCTGTTTTGAATATGCAGATTTGATGATAACAGGCCATTCTAAAGATAGAATGAGCCATAACATAAAATTGATCAATGTATTTTTGAAGAAGTGGTAATTTCAAAGCCATGTTGTGGATTGCTGTTACTCTGGGTGATAAACTGAGACCAGAGAGGTTGGGAGGAAAGCCACCATGTGCTGTTTCACAACGTTTCACTTTCTGAATTGCAGTACCCTCCCTCTCAAAGACCCTCACGTAGACAGTGCCTCCCCGGTGTATCAGGCTGTGCTGAAAACTCAGAACAAGCCCGAGGATGAGAGCGAGGACTGGAGCCGCCGCTCCGCCAACCTGCAGTCCAAGTCCTTCCGCATCCTTGCCCAGATGACTGGAACGGAGTACAGTAAGTGGAATAGCAGAACATCCTCCTCATCCTGATTGCAGATTCCTGTCGTTATGTATCGCCCCGGTATTGGCCACTGATACTGAAGGAATACTCATGACCAGACTTGTAGTTTTCAGTCCAAGATCCTGGATGTAACTAGAGAGAATAGGAAATCAAAGTGTACAGTCTCACCTTATGCTTTGTGAAGAAAATTCTTTGATCTGCCAGGGGTCTCACCATAAAACTATAACAGACTCTATAGTAAAAGAGCATTTGGGACCCCATAGTTCTTCCTACTTACAAATAAAATTTCTGCAGTGCAATTTTTTGTTCTCCAGCAGCCTAGACTTACAAAGCTGTCCATTCATTAGAAAAAATGACAAAGAGGTCGTGTCTCTTGTAACAGCCTTTTATAGAAGTGACTTCTGGAGGTCAAAAAAAATCATGGATCACCATTTGTCTTGAATCGATGATTCTCTCAGCCCTGTTATCTAAACCTAGATCTGCTATGAATGTCACAGGAGATTGAACTTTGCTGCTTGTTGCCTATGGAAATATTTTTCTGACCACCTGGTACTAACTTCACAGCTGGTTTCTGATCTAGAGATAAGGAAGTTCAGGGCCCTTTCCCACATCAGAGGGAAATAGTTAGTGTTTCCTATGAATCTGCTGATGATGCCTCTTGTGCTTTCCTGCAAAACAGCAGGACCTCTCTGTAGAATCATTGCCTACAGCTGTGAAACACTGCTAATAAATGAATGACAAAGGCATTGTAATAGCTACATTCCTCCTAACATCCTCCTTCCCATCTCTAGGGAACTGCTCCTCCTCATGGTGTTCTTACAGATTCCACTGCTGCAAAATCAGCATGAATGCACCTTTAGATAGGCTTTTGATAAGTTTCTAAGGGACTTATAATTTCATCATAAAGCCAATTCCTTTCTTTCTTTCTTTTTTAACTGAAACATTTTTTGTCTACAGTGCAAGATCCAGATGAGGAAGCCCTGAGGAGGTCAAGGTAGGCAACTCCCTGTGAAAAATATGGCTTTCTCCTTCCTGATAACCCAATAATGTTTTAAAATGGCATTAATATGAACCTCCTTTATTATATTTTTGTCCTAAAATAGTCTAATACATTTACTTAAAAATCACTGAAATTAAAATGCTATTTGTGAGAGGCATTTGAATGAGAAGGATAACAAATTAGCATGCTTTTAGGAAAGACAGTGCAAAACTCCTGGAGTGTGTGTTCAAATCTCAAAGCTCTTTGCTCATGCAACTTTCCTGTACTTTACTGGGTGTGTGAATGTGATGAATTCCAAGCCCCGTGTAACTACTTGATTGTGTAACTGGATGAAAATATATAATGTTGTGATAGCACTGAAATTTGTGAGCAATTTATTTGGATGACCCTCTGATTGACATTTGATTCTCCTTAAATGATACAGTAAAGGAGTTGTTTCCATCCATACCCATGATCATTAGCTTATGTTTTATTTGGAATAAACATGACCCAAATTTATAGAATACGGAAGCACAGGACTGCTTTTGCTAGTGGATAAATGTATTTGTTTCATATGATCTATCAAAAACACTTAAAAAGTGGATATGTTCAGAGATATAATATGGAATTAAAGATTTATCATCATCCTGCATAGCCAGGAAATAGATGTATTAGAGATTCTTATGTTGAGCTAAAAACTGCAGTTGAATCAAGAGCATCCTGCGTGTAAGCCTTATTTTCTGTTTGCATACTTCAAATCCCTATTCACATGAGCTGCTCTAAGCCGCTGGCTGGGTTTGTGATGTGTTTGATACTCAAACCACCTCCTTTCCCTATTCTTTTTTTTTTTCTTTTTACTGCTGTACGGCTTCTTTAAAGGTTCTGAGCTTTTGATCACAGTGCAAGTTACAAATGTTGAATCAGTGAGAAAGAAATCTGTTATCTTCCCTGTGAGAATACAAGTGTGCTTTCAGCTGATGTTTGCTATAAACCTTCCATTGCAGTTCACCCAAGTTCATGGCTGAGTGCCCGAACATCAGGCTTGACATTATATCCCTCAGGGATTTATTTCTTCCCTCAAATGTGCAAGCCTAATTCTCATTAAATGTATTGTGCATTATCTGTTTTGATGTAATAGCACACATCCAAATCCTTACTATGATGGGATTTAAAGCATTGTGATGAACTTAAGAGTCCCCCATTCACATCTGAGAGTAATATGTTGTTTTAGAGGAATAATCTTTCTAGGTGTAGTCCGTGGCTTTGGAAAATACTAGATGCTGGAAAATTTAGGTGGTATCAGATATGTTGACAATAATTATCTAGTAACACATCAACACGTGGAAATTGCACATTCTATCTCGAAGTACATGACTATATTCACTGTGCTTTGCATGTTTTCTGCAGTTTTGAGGTTTCACTGTGTTATCCTTTGTTTCCACAAGGAGATTCTGGCTGTGTTTAGGCACAGCTGAACAGGTTTAAGGGCATTCATTGGTAGTAGAGTTAAGGGAACATATACTAGGTAGTTACACAGGAACTGTGCAATTGGTGTGAGCTCTGGGGCAAGGAATGAAATGGGGTCTCCTTCCTGCCTCCCTGACAGTGCCTGTCCCATGTGGGTGGGTTGGTGCCTGCCTCAAACGTTGCCCACACCCCACTGGAGATGTGGTAGCAAAAGCCCCAGCTGTGCATGCATCGATCATAGACAGCTCTTTGGGGCCTGTTGGACCCCTCCTGTTTCATCTCTTGGGAAGGCTCCTGCTACTTTTGAGTTTGTAAGGAATGGAAGGACCTATGACAGATGCACAGACTCCATACTTGAACTTCACTCTTCCAGCACAATAATGGAGTAGAAAGTCCTCTTCAGTATCTACTCCACATCCAGACTATACAACCAGACCTTTCTGCACGTCCACAGTTTGGGATCATCTGGAAGGTTTCCTGGGTTCCTGAAAGCAAAAGGTTTCCATGAAACTGCGGAACCTGAGTCTTGCCAGATTCAGTGTTGTGTTAATGCCCTGCTGTGCTGGAGTTCTGGAAAAATCCTTCATGTTCCAAAAGTTAAACTGCCAGAGATTTTGGAGGGCAGGGGATTTTGGTCTCAGGGCATGCTGTGAGCAATCCCTCTGGTGCTTTCTCTTGCAAGAACTGCATGAAATGCTGATCAGATTTCTCCCAAACTCTTGGAGGACAGGGGGTGATACGTGTAGCTTATTTTTGACAGAACTGCTTTACATAAAAATAGTCACTTTTAGATTGCTGCTTCTAACTTCATGACATATGTTCTAAATGAAACCCATGGAGCTTGGGCATTTTCGAGTGGCAGAATATCCCTTTCAGTTAATATTAATGAGCACGTTGCATGACTGTCCCTCGCTCGTGCTGCTGCTATTTTGAAGGCACACATGAGATTATTACTTGCTATGAAAACTTTCCATTGCTGGTGTGATGATCGTTGTGGATTATTTTCTGGAAAGAAGGGATCTATTTCAAGCCAAACACATGTTTCTGAATACCTTTTCCTTGAATGGAGGGATAATATCTCAAAAGTAGTAAGGGAATTCTTAAATTGCATGTCAGACCCACTGTAGCTGGTACACTCCGGTGTAACTGGAAAAAATGCCATCAGGAAGTTTCAACTAGGAATACTTTATATCTTTTAATTACTTAAAAGCATAAAAGATATTTTGGGAAGTCATGCATCAACACTTCTTTAGGAGTGTTACTTGCATGGCACTGTGTTATTAAGAACAGAAGATTTAGAAATATCAGTGAATTTGTTGGCATTTACTCTCTTTATTGTTTTGTGCTTTCTTCAGCCTGAGGAGTAAAACCAGCTCAGTCTGCTCCTTTCTGTTTGGCTGGTTTCACTCTCAAGTTCCACTGAATTAACACAATTAATTGTCTTGTGTTTTGAGTGTAAATAATGAGGAAAAAAAATTACCTTGTTTGCAATGATTCAAATACATTTTGCGAATAACAAGAACATTTTATTTTCCATTCTGTTTGATATACTTCTCCTTCACTGTACTCTCATCTCACATCCCCCTTCTTCCCCTTTTTATTTACAAAACCTGAATTTAAACTGTAGAGTGTCTAGAAAAGGCTAAATCCTGAGAGGTGCTGAACGTGGCTCGACAGCCCCAATGTGCAGTCAGAGGTAGCCAGGGAGGGCAGGAGATGGCCAATACTTCACAGGACTCTGCTTTGAAAATCCCATGTTGTTCTGCTTTGTGACACCTATGACCAGAAATATTTATGCAAATGTAAACACTAATACTTACTAATGCTGAGAAAAGCTGTAGAAAAGTACTGCTTAAACCTGTGGGTGATGGTCCTTGCAGGAAGGACAGCAGGATATATATGGGCTGGCCTAGGTGTTACAGAATGGAAAATACCTGCATTCATTTTGCACTTCTCTGAGTTAACTGTCACTGACTGCTCAGCTGGGGGCAAGGGAGGGAAAAGCCAAGAGAAACTGGTGGCAGGAAAACAATGGGATTACACTGCATTTCTAGCAAAAGCAGCCCTGTAATACCAAGCACAAGTCAAAGAATAAGAAGTTATATCAAGTTACTTCTCAGAAATAAACAACTGCAAAACCTTTCATACATGGTCCAAAAAGCATCACCTAGCCTTCACTGTGCTGATTTGATAGCTGAGGAGAAAATCCAAATAAATTGCCATTGCCCTAGTTGTAAGGCAGGGGAGTGGTAGCCATGGTCCCTAACCCCTTTCTTTCTCCCTCCTTTCTTTCTTCTGTGTTTATGTCTCTCTCTGTCTCTGTCTTTCTCTCTCTCTCTCTCTCTTTCTTCATGCCACAGGGAAAGGTTTGAAACGGAACGTAACAGCCCACGCTTTGCCAAATTGCGCAATTGGCATCACGGCCTGTCAGCGCAGCTCCTTAATGTCAAAAGTTAAAAGCCCACGTTTCTGGGGCAAACACAGACAGAGTTACAGTCAAACATTAACTGCTGTCCTGAGTTAGAGCCCCAGCGTGTCACACACGCTGCTGGGGCCTTGCTCTGTAGGTTTCTGTCGTTAGCCTGTTAGCCATTCACTGTCACCACAACTAAAAATAACAGTACAACCCGGTTCGTGTTCTTCATTTCAAAGTAGTTTAGCTTTACTCCTTTACTATCTCAAACTT